AGTGAATAAATTTATCAAAGATGTTAATGTAGAAGCAACTTTTATTGATTCACTGAAAGATAGAACAACAATTGAAGACAAATTGAAAAGTTTTGGAGCAGTCGAAAACTCAGGCATAATAACTATGGATTATCCTCTCCTAGAAGAAATTATCATCTCTCGATCCAACCTCACAACACAAAGATTCTACACAGGATTATTTATTTTTGGTTATCGTTTTCGTCTTACTCAATTTATTTGATTGAAGTTTATTTTAATACAATCGACATACCCAGGTACTATTACGGTGGGTTTCTATAATGAAGAAAATAATGAGCGAAAGAAAGTATCGTGCCAATCAACAAACAACATCTTCAAAAGGAATCATATATCGATGAAAGAAACATAATTGAGAAATTGCCATTCATTACTTGTATGGTCGAATGATCAACATGGATCAATCGACTATCAACAAGGCAGTTCAATCTTTCGACAGATCAATCCAAATATTGCTGTGGCCGACGTGTATGCAGTTAAAAATAGAAGCAGAAAAGAGGAGAAACTCGAAATTTCTCCGAGCATCGAGCAATAAACATATGTCTCATTATTCAAAATGAAAATCAATCAAATAGTTGATTTTAAAAGAACAAAAATGTCGTTCAAAATAAAACGACGTCAGTCCATTTTTCTCTCACTTTGGGTGTGTATGTAGATGAGAAAAACAACTCTACCTACACCCACACCCTTGTCGTTTAGTTTTTGATAATGGTTCTAATGGAACTTTACCTACAGGTGGTAATTCTCGTAGATCTTCAATCAACTCGTCATCAAATGGTTTACGTTTTTTAATACGATAATCTTTTTTATTTTTATTTTTTTCTTGATCATCGTCATCATTATCATTATGAAAATCGTCAAAATTATTCGGTTGTTCCTCATCTTTTTTATTTTCATTATTATTTTGATTCGTTCTTTCATTTAGTTGATTTATCTTGATTTTTTTATTGGTCGACTACGATTAGTTTTTGATTGATTTGAAGAATTAGGCAATGACATGCGTTCAAGACCTTGATCAGACGATGCACCGAGTTCATTATATATTTCTAAATATTCCTCAATTTTTTCTTTCACATATTCTTCATTCCATTTTATTTCACTCCATTGAAGTTGAGCATTACGATGTTTTATCTATTTCAACAAAATAAGTCCAATTATTTATATTCATTAAAAAAAGAACTTACATTTCGTTTTTCATTAGGTTGAGCTTTCATATAAGCATCGACAAACGTTTTATAAAGACTTGAACCTTGAATTATTTTTTTGCTTTCGTATGCATGGCAAGCTATGCCAATCAACCAACAGAACACAAATAATGGCGCTCACCAACAATATATAAAAGAGAAAGAAAAGCGAACAAGACAAAAAAAATTGCTATAAGTAGTAAAAGAAACTCGTTGACGACGTCTCTTTCTCTCTGTATTACTTATAAAAGTTCACAAAGTAGAGTAGCCGATAGTTATTTTTGTTGAGGCTTTTGACGATAACGATACTATGCGTATTTAACTGGGAACAACGAAAAAAAAGCATAACGGGTAATCCAAAAGTTTTACAACATATGGTTTTTTTCATATATCTTAGTTCAGAAAAAAGATAAAATCTTGAATTTAATCTTGGAAGACGTCCTTTTTAATTCTCTACAAAAGTGTATTTACTTTAATTTAAAATAATAGAACTGTAAGTTTTTCTATGTCAAACAGTATACTTATATGAATTGCATCTATATCCCACACTTTTCTTTTACCATACTTTTCCCGACTTTCTCCTGTTATAAACATGTGTTTAAGAAACTAATTACAACCAATACAATCACATATCACAGGTCTTTCAGAATAATTTGTTTGCGTTCGATTACAATTTGATCGGGTCTAATAAAAATGATATGTTTGATATGCTACTGTAAAAGCAGTGTTCTTAGCGATGTTCAGATTCTTCTTCAAATTAAATCGTTCTATCAAATGTTTTTAGAGCTTCCCGTAGAAAGAGAAGTCATTTTTCTTCAAAATACTGCAAAAGTAAACTTGGTTTGACCATATGTCACATTTTTAAGAGTTTTTTTTTCTGGAGAGCGTCATTGAGAGAGAAAATTTTGCGATTTTCAAAATATTACTTCATGGAAAATTCTGTCTAATGGAAAGAATCAATATTAAATATATAAGCAATCGACCGAAACTTGGAAGAATTATCTGACAATCTGTTATTTCTAATAGCAAAATATTCGTTCGTACAAATAATTTATTAAAATACGAGTAGGATAAAGATGCAATTCATATAAGTACACTATTGTGTAGAGAATTAAAAAGCACATCTTCTAAGATTAAACTCAAAATTTTATCTTTTTGCTGAAATAAGATATATGAAAAGAACCATATGTTGTAAAACTTTTTGGATTACCCGGTAGTATATTTGAGTACTGACTCAAAACAGTTGCTAGTCTAAGACTAAATGCCATATATAACCACATTATTATGTGATTGTCGTTGAGATACTCTAAGAAGTGTATAAGGCGTATAAGTTACTACATACAGCAAAGCGAAAGAAATATTTAATATTCTAGGAGTGACTTATTAAGATCGATTGAAAATTTGATTGAGAATATGATGAGCTCTGATTGAATCCGAAAAAAAATTTCGGACTCGAGAAAAGAAAAAGAAAATTTGGCCTCACAATATAAGTATAATGTCATCATCCTTGATTAAAAATAAAAAAGAACCTCAATCAAGGAGAAATATTACGTAGTTCTTTTTCTTTCGTACATATGAATGCAATATTTATATCATTCTTTTTCTCTTCACTTCATTAAAATACAACTGAGTGTTTTTTTTTGCATAGACGTAACCGAGCTTTTGATCAATATAAATAGTATCATTGAATAGCGTTTTTCGAGAAAATTCTTTCATTTAGTCTTGCTTTTTAGAAACATTTTTTCATGTAAAATGAGAAATGAAATTTTATTCTTTGTCTCTAGTATCTATTTCAAATATTAACATTTTCGTTAATAAAAACACTTTTGCTAATAATAAAGATACATTTATTAATCAGGAACAAAATACAAAATAAAAACAATTATTCATGCATTGTTTTAAGCTAAAACGATTTTAGAAATTATTAAATATAAAAGTTTATGCGGTTTGCTATTGTAATGGGCAATATATTTGAACAAAATTTCCTATTCCATCTATATTAGGGTAATCACGAATATATGAAATGTAAAGTAGTACGAAAACCGTGTGTGACACTCAAATCTGCATCCAGACCTTGTTGCATGCTGCGTTTTCGACATGCTCGAATTCTGACAGGCAAATAACGGTAAACGTCCTTTTCAAATGAAGAAAAAGTAATATAATTAGAGTAAAGCTGAGTAGATTCTGGCAAAAATACATGCTATACGCAATGGTGTAGTCGAAGCGTTTCATTCAGGCACTTTGGAGCTAGTTGAACGGATTTTCTCGA